TGGCAAAGTCGTCAGCTGTTAGAGTTGATGAAGGAGGGGGAGGAGGAGGACAAAGGAGGGAGGAAAATGTTTTAAAGAGCATGCGAGAGTTAGGCGAATTGTTAATTTTGTTGTGATAGTATGTCCTTTTAGTAGTGGAGACATTAGCGGAGAATGAAGAGAGGAGTGACTGATATACATTAAGGTCAGTAGGATTTCATCTTCCCCTGACTGGGATTTATAAAGGGATTTTGCGCAGGTTCTGGCCTACGCATGGTTTTATAAATCTGAAAACTTTTGTGTGTACGCAAAATCTAGCTTTTGAGCGTACGTACACTTTTAGGATGAAATCTACGGAGAGTTTTATAAATGAGGCCCCAAGACTTCCGTGCGGGTTAGATCGGGACTTCGGAGCGGGTTTGCGAATCATTTCGCGAATTAAAGTATCGATCTGAAATGATGTTTCGCAAATCATTATTCAGATCGGGACTACAGTAAGGGTTCACGATCATTATTATATTGCAAGACTACAAATGAAGAAAATTTATTTCCAGCCTTACAGTAGCCTACATTTAGTCTAAATGCAAATGTGGATGGAATAGTCTACTAGAGATTAAAACCTACTAAATTTATAATTATTTAAAAATGTAACATTTTTAAAACATTTTAAAAAGTGTCATGGCATAGACAATAAATAACGTTTTTCTTCAAATGTGAAATGTGAATGTATTTTCTTGGATTGAAAATATATGGAAGGCAACATAAATTTTAAATGCTTTTAAAAATGATTAAAAAAAAATATATATATATATATATATATTTAAAAATATACCAAAAATGGCCAAAACAGAAAATTTTTCTTGAAACATCATTTGAAATATTTGAAAATATATTTGAATACATTTTTTTCCACATGTGTGCAAAAGCATGGCACATTCAAGTTACAAATGACCGTTCCGCTCTCTTATGTTAAAAATCTTTGAACGTCAACAAACCAAAAACCTCTCTTTCACACACAAACACACAATGGTGGGTTCGTCGCAAGCGGGCAGACAGGTGCTGAGACGACAGGAAACAAAAATAACCTGGCATGGCCTGCGCAAACTCACACACTCATATATAAAACTGAGCTGGATTATTTTGGTATTCAGCTGCTTAAGCAAAACTGAATAAGCAGGTCATATCTAAATGTGTGCAAAAGTGTTTGAAACCCCACCTTCCTCAGGTCAGCAAGATATAACAACAGCTCTCAGCATTTACACACACACACACAACTCACCATCATCCTGAGCTGTACTTTACAAAGAGGCTTTCTGTTGTACTGATAAACTTCTCAGCATTTACCTTTCTTACACACACACACATCTGTAATTCTCCATCGCAGCACTTTAGCTGAGCTGAGCTCCTGGAGGAAAAACTCCATCCAAATGTTTCTCCTACAGCGTCAGTGCTTTTAATACAGTAGTAAAAGAGCATTTAGCTGACAGCATGTGGGTTATGATCCCTGACGGTGCTCTCTAACTAAACAAGTTGCTGGAGAAGCAGTAATATTACAATATATTTCGATTCAGTAGGAATCAAACACCGCGATTGCTCATATATAGCCAACTTTTCAAAGAAATAGCATGTGAAACAGTAGGTTAAATGCTTCAAATGGTTGCATGCAACATTGATGCCATGAATTTGCCTTTTTTATACAAAATGCAGGTCATTTTGGAGATGCGAAACAGAATAAAGTCTTCCTCACACTTTTGCTTTGCACTACAGCTTTATTTACCAAACACAAGTTTCAATGCAATGCAACACTGATCCAGAGCAGATATGTTATTTTGCTGAGGTGTCCATAAGCCCGCTGGCATGTTAAGAGATATTTATCAAGCATAAGAATAACATGTACACACAATTCTCGTGGACATTAGCCTAATCACGACAGTTAAAATAAATCAATGTTCTGTTTAGTTCTGATATGTCCTGAATTAGATATAAAGAGGAACGCATGGTGGGGCTATAAAAGGGTCTTTAGGATCCCCTTGATTGGAATAAAAACACCCCACTGGTTTATTTTCTGTGATAAGGCATTACGATTGGTCCCTGTAGAGCTTGAAAATTCACGTTTGGTCTGATTTGATCCGTCCCTCCTCCCAATAACATGCAAAGATATGCATGTTTCAATAATTATATGAGTGCACATCACATGATTGGCTAAGGCTGATTAGTCTAACTAGGAGAAGTAGGCGGGGTTAATTACAGCAGTATGTACAGTTACAAAGCACATCACATAATGATCAAAATACTCACAATGCACCTATCAAGTTTAGCAGCATATATATATATATATATATATATATATATATATAAAAACACAAACAAATAAAGTTTCTGTTTATAATTTTTTTCAAGAGGTGAATCTCACGAAAGCAATTTAAAAGCCTATTTTAAGATCGAGATTTTTCATGACAAGCATTTTTTACCTTGCAATTCTCATTAATGCAATGCAAAAAATATATTTTATTTAAACTGCAATATTAGTTTATGTACGATGTACCTTTAATTTAGGCTTATTTTATGTTTTAAAAATCACTATAACAGTAATGAGAATCTAATTAAATAAAAAAATGATCAATTTAGGGTTAAAATGTGTTTAAATGTCATGAAAATAGTGTCACAATGAAAGCGTCTTAATAGTTCTAAAATAGGCTTTATTTTTTAATGCAACATAATTACTCATAGAATTTTAGGGGGGTAAATGATACACGGAAACGTTTCCATGAGATTCACCTCAAGAGACTGTGTGTTAAAATGAAACAAACATCCATCGTCACAGGGAGTGTGTTTGTGTGTATTTTTGGAGTCCTAATGTGCAGTTTGTGAGAATAAAGTTCTTCTGTAAGTGTGTTTGTGAAACGACGGGGTCTAAAACAGCGTGTTTACAGTATCATGTTACAGTGTACTTACAAGTAAAGCATATAAACACATTTTGTCTAATTGCACTTCTGAGTGGAGTTATGGATTTCCTGTTTTCCACGTGAGCCATGCACAAACCGTCCTCCCCCCACATCCTTCCATAAATCTCCTGCTCTCTCTCTATCCTTCCCCTAAAAGCCGGGCATTCGTAATGGGGAGGAACAGAAATGTGAACACAACTTCAAACTGGCAGCAGTGAAATAAGATCATGTACATTTTTTAACAATGTTCAGAGCCTGAAGCGTTTAGCATCTCCAGCGCTGTGCAAAACACATGGCTTCCTGCTTCTGGGACTCTTAAAAACAGAAAAAAATCAAGAAAAAAAAGTCAGTGCCAATCAGATCAGAGAGCGTGGCTTCAGAAGAATTTGTCATCAATGCGAAAGTGAGCTCGTCCCCAGTAAGCACCCAATCAGATCAGGGGGTGTGGCTTCAGAAAAAATGATCAATGCAAAAATGAGGTTGCATGAGGTCGCAAAAAATGTGAGGTCATCTGCAGGCAGCACCCAATCAGATCAGTGGGCGTGGTTTCAGAAAAATGTATCATGGATGTAAAATTCAGCTCATCCCCAGTCAGCGCCCAATCAGATCAGAGGACGTGGCTTCAGAATTATTTGTCATCAATGGAAATGTGAGGTCATCTGCAGCCAGCGCCCAATCAGATCAGAGGGCGTGGCTTCAGAATTATTTGTCATCAATGGAAATGTGAGGTCATCTGCAGCCAGCACCCAATCAGATCAGAGGGCGTGGCTTCAGAATTATTTATCATCAATGGAAATGTGAGGTCATCTGCAGCCAGCGACCAATCAGAGCAGAGGGCGTGGCTTCAGAATAATTTGCCATCAATGGAAATGTGAGGTCATCTGCAGCCAGCGCCCAATCAGATCAGAGGGCGTGGCTTCAGAATAATTTGCCATCAATGGAAATGTGAGGTCATCTGCAGGCAGCGCCCAATCAGATCAGAGGGCGTGGCTTCAGAATTATTTGTCATCAATGGAAATGTGAGGTCATCTGCAGCCAGCACCCAATCAGATCAGAGGGCGTGGCTTCAGAATTATTTGTCATCAATGGAAATGTGAGGTCATCTGCAGCCAGCACCCAATCAGAGCAGAGGGCGTGGCTTCAGAATTATTTGTCATCAATGGAAATGTGAGGTCATCTGCAGCCAGCACCCAATCAGATCAGAGGGCGTGGCTTCAGAATTATTTGTCATCAATGGAAATGTGAGGTCATCTGCAGCCAGCGGCTAATCAGATCAGAGGGCGTGGCTTCAAAAGAATTTGTCATCAATGCGAAAGTGAGGTCGCGTGACGTCGTCTGGGTTGATGAAGACTGAGATGGACTTCCCAGGATTCTCCGTGACCAGCTGCTGGAGTTTCTTCGCAAGACGGTCGTCTGGTTGCTGATCGGCTCCAGTTTCTAACAGGGGAGACAGGTTTGAGCTTCCTCCACGCCACTGGAGCTCCAACGTGAGTCGCGACGCGGCTTTTGCGTGCTCTATTGCACTTCGCAAGTGTTCTGCTGGGTCAGAGCGAATGGACGACAGCTTGCGTGCATGCAGCATGGCCGTGTCGTCGCTAAGGTGCTCTAGCATGTTGCATTGCGGGATAAAGTAATTCGGGCAGGTCTTATTCACCAAGCAATGCTGCAAGTCGTCGATCAACCCGAGCAAAAAGTGTGCGGCGTAATCTTCCTGCGCCAAATACGTATGCGGCAGGCGGTCACAGGCCCAAAGCATGAGCGAGCGCAGATGATACGGGCTGATGGCTTTGGGTCGAGAGAGAAGCTTAATAATCAGAGCTTTACAAGCCTGGTACGCCTGCATGAGACTGGAAGAGATGCACTTCTTCAGCTGCACCTCGCTGCGCGCAAACGACAAGCGCCATTCGTTTTCCTTCTGGCCTGTAGAAGAGCAGGCAGGCAGCAAATAAAACCCGCTAATCACTTCCTCCTCTGTGATTTTCCCGTCCCAAAAATGGTTTTCCATTAGCCAGCTTTGGGCCACCGCCGGCCAGCCTTTGAACGACACTACTGGAACCACATCGTACAGCATCCGACTGCCTCCGACACCCAAAATGATGGAGATGACGGTTGCGTTGCGCTCGACCTTCTCGACCCGCGGGACGCCGCGCTGCGGCTTCTTCTGAATCTCTGCCAGAACCATACTAATGGATTCGTAGAACCAGTCGGCCACCAGCGTGGGCGAGAAAAAGTAATTGGTGGCGCCGTTAAGATGGTCTACAACCGTGCAACAGTCCTTCCACTTGTTGATGGTTCCCTCGTCAAACAGACGCAGGCTGAGCCAAGAGTGGCAGAGCGCCGAGTGACGCATGTCTAGCGTGACCGGCTGGTTTCGGTCGTGGAGTTTGAGCGCGGGAACCAGTAACGTGAAGTCCATGTCGTAATCAGCTCCCCGAGCATATACCGTCAACTCGTCCAGATCCATGTCAACCACACCTTCCCGGACCCCGCCAGACAACAGCAGGTACTCATTGGCAACCGGAAGCTTCTGGTCCAACTTCTGCACCATGCCTGAAAACAGGAAATTACATCATTAAAGAAGGACAAATTTTGTGTACTTCTACAAAGTAGATAAAACAGACTATCCCTGCTATCCATTCGGAAGGGCTCATCCCAATGCCCTAATCCCTTCAAAGGGTTTACCCTCCAGTGTGAGAACTTTGAAGGGTTGAAGGGTGTAGGGGACCAAACAACGGTTCATTGAAGTGCCCTTCTGCGTCACCATCATGTTCCCACACGGAGGCGCCGTCATCATGCAAAGAATCTGTCAGCTCCCCGAGCATATACCGTCAACTCGTCCAGATCCATGTCAACCACACCTTCCCGGACCCCGCCAGACAACAGCAGGTACTCGTTGGCAACCGGAAGCTTCTGGTCCAACTTCTGCACCATGCCTGAAAACAGAAATTACATCGTTAGCAGTGTTGGGTGTAACTAGTTTCTAGGGGTGGGCGATTTTTCCGATTTTATCGATTTTATCGATTAATTCGAATTTAATGTTTTGCCACGATTTTATTTTTTAGAAATCGAGGAATCGCGATTTTGAATAGAAATATTACCAAACGTCAGAATTAGACACTTTGACAATATGCCAATGATAACAGTAAAGAGAAAAGAACGATCCAACCGCATGTCGGCGCACGTGATTAACCGCTCATATCTCGAGGCGCCGTTCGCACAGAATGCGCTTTTGTTTTGACAAAGATGCGACGCGGGCAGTGGAATAGGTAAAACATGCAAGAAGATGGGAGTGAACTTCTTTTAACTTGAGCGC